ATTTGCCTTGACATATATATATATATATATATATATATATATATATATATATATATATAGAGAGAGAGAGAAAGAGAGAGAGAGATATATAGATAGAAAGATAGAGATAGATAGATAGATAGATAGATAGATAGATAGATAGATAGATAGATCTGAACAGACTGTGATAGATAGATAGATCGATAGATAGATAGATAGATAGATAGATAGATCTGAACAGATTGTTATAGATAGATAGATAGATAGATAGATAGATAGATAGATACATAGATAGATAGATCTGAACAGATTGTTATAGATAGATAGATAGATAGATAGATAGATAGATGATAGATAGATAGATAGATAGATCTGAACAGACTGTTATAGATAGATAGATAGATAGATAGATAGATAGATAGATAGATAGATAGATAGATCTGAACGGATTGTTATAGATAGATAGATAGATAGATAGATAGATAGATAGATAGGTGTGTGTGTGTGTTCGTGTGTGTGTGTGTGACAAGACGAAAAGTTGTGTTGTGATGCTTTCCTCTCAGAACATCTTCAGTAAAAAATTTATATCCCAGTCCAACTTAGTTACAAACTTTAAACCTATATTTCATCGTCGTTGGATTTACATTCCTATTTACCTTCTAACTATTCTCGAAGGAAAGAGAGATTCGTTTTTCCTTTTATTCAAATGTTAAACTACACATTTGTCCATATATCCCAAATTGACGGTGTTTTGTAACTTACAGAAAGGAAGAAAGTTTTTTTTCCACGTACTGAAGCAATCGATCATAATTTTTCAAGCAAATATTTCTTTTCTATTCTTTGTCTAAGTTCGCACCTATTCCGAGCAAAACTTTTCCCACATTTTAAATGAGTCCTTTATATATATATATATATATATATATATATATATATATATATATATATATATATATGTGTGTGTGTGTGTGTGTGTGTGTGTGTGGGTGTGTGTGTTTTGTGTGTGTGTGTGTGTGTGTGTGATTTCTTTTGCTACATTTTTCTTCCCAAAAAGTTGAATAGTTTTAAAAGTAACGCGCTCGACAGATGAAAATGATTCCTAGATAGCCGACGGTTCGATGTTTGCACCCAACGGCGTTGACACTCTTTCTTGTTATATATATATATATATATATATATATATATATATATATATATTTGGCTTCGAGCCAGAGGTCCGGAGACTCCCGTATAAAAGCGTCAGAATTTGGAACCAAACTTCGAAAAGTCAAGATTGTAAATAGCACAAGTATCACTCATTGATCTACAAGGTAAAGCAGGTGTTCGGAATGGGTGGGGTCGGACAATTGTTCCGTCACTTCCAAAGTTGGCTCGTTTTCCCTCCGAGGGGATTCACCACCAGAATTTCGCCTTGGAGTCTATTGAGAAGATTAATTGACGAAAATATGTGCAATTAGGAAAAGCCTGATCAGACGAGAATACGAATGGCCCATGAATTGTTTCTAGTCCAACTAATGAACATTTAAGCAAAAATTGCCTTCGATTTCTCGCCGTCGACTTCTTTCTTTTACCGCTAAGAAAGTTCTAAGTTGAGCAGTAAGCAACTGGAGAGTTCAATTTCAGGTAGAAACACATCATCTCTATTATGCTATTTATATTCGGACTAATATCCTCATCCTTGTTGTTGTTATCACATGCATATTATTATACCCACTGGTCTTTCTCTTCTGTCTATCGGGAACAAAAAGAATTCCGAACGGAAGCCTTTATTTATCCCGGATTATACTGTTCTTCTTCAACTTCTCATGTTTATGTATATCGACTATTTCTTTTCCTGTTAGGTCCAATGACTGGTGGTACAGGTATTAAACTTACAACCATGTTATCAAATTCACAAACTAACGCTTTTACCCGATAGGCCATCGTTTATTTCTATAGTAAATTTTTGCGTTTTAAACTGCTGATTAGGTTGCAACTGATACTGCTGCCGATTTTCTAATTGCTACTGATGTATATCAACTATTTCTTTTCCTGTTAGGTCCACTGGCTGGTGGTACAGGTATTAAACTCACAACCATGTTATTAAATTCACAAACCAACGCTTTTACCCGATAGGCCATCGTTTATTTCTGTAGTAAACTTTTGCGTTTTAAACTGCTGATTAGGTTGCAACTGATACTGCTGCTCATCTTCTGATTGCTGCTGATGCGGTTGAAGATTTGCTGTAATTTGTCTTTCTTTCTTTTTTAACATCTCCCATATTGTATTTATTTTCTTGTTTGGCCTAATATGGGGATTCTCGTATCCTATCATATGTGCTTGTAGACGTCTCTCCCGTGTTCTTCCTTGCATATTATTTTCACTTCATAACACAAGAGCCAATGACAGATTGTTATTTCTAGTATTTTTTTTATTAGATTGTTTATTTGAATGGTTATCAGAGCATCGAGTAATTGATTCGAACTTGATAAAATGGTAAATAATAAGGATTTCATTATAGTTGGTTCAAATATTTGAATAATTTAGTAAATGTTTATAAATTTATGAATAAAAAATTGTTTTATATATTTTTCTTTATAGAGTAGTAAATGATAATTATTGCATGGCGTTAATTGTATTACTTTTTAGATTTGTTCTAGATTTAAAATTATTCTTGTAAATAAACAATCTAATAAATAAATACTGTTTAATATTTTTGTCAAGAATAAAAAATATATAAATTCACTTTCATGATATGTTTAGCATTTATTAAACTTCTAACGGTCGCTTATTTTTCCTAGGGAGACGCAGGTTCGAATCCTATCGGAAAGCTCATATTTTTCTCAAGAATTCATGTATATTGAAGCTAGTAGACCAAAATAAATAAATGTCACTCAATTATGTGCCATGCGTAATACAGGTTTATGCGTTGATGCATGTTTCGATACAAGTGTGACGTAGCAGATTATTTTTACCCGCAGTAGGTTGCCATTTTTTCTGCAGTAGACCAGTTGCCATCCAAGGATATAGAACCTGGTTTATCCTGCTATTTAGCCATAGCTAGTGGGAGGTGGGAGAAGAAAATGATTCATACCTTTCTTAAAGGTATTAGCTCGTAAGTGAATGTAATGGATTTGACTGAAATTCGAACACGGTGCTTCTACTTAAATATGAGTATCCACTAAAATAACGTTTACATAACAGACACACACACACACACGTATATATATATATATATATATATATATATATATATATATATATATATATATATATAAAAGTGAACATAGAAGTCAACACTTAGAGGTGACAGTCTGTTTCATGGTAGACGCAATCGTCAGGACACGAGTGCTGTTATTTTTCTCGGCTATTTATATATACGAATCACTGGTGCATTGGGGATATTCTGGCGGTTATTTTACAGGACGTTGTTTATTTGTTTATTTATTTATTTGTGTTAAATTATTTTGCTTGTCATTTTTTTATTTTTTTTTTATTTTCATATCTTATATATTTATCTATTTAATTTTAATCGATATTTTTATTAACGTAGTAAAAAATTTGACTTCTATGTTCACTTTTATATTTACACACGCTCTATCTCTGATATTAAGCACTTTATCTCATAAATGTAGAACAACTTAAGACTATATTTTTTTATATATATATATATATATATATGAAGAAAAATATACAGAGAATTATTATTAATATTAGAACATAAAATTCAACATGAAAAGACGATGGACATAAGAGCACAACTAATCCAAACAGATAACTGAAATTTTTATATAAGATCAGCGTTCCGTTTAAATTATGATGACGTCGTCGTCACGTGGGCGATGTTGTGAAAACGTACTCGAAGATGATTTCAAAATATTAAAATATTAAACAAATTCGATTGAACTATTTTCTCGTATAAACAGTTCTTCAAGAAATCCCTTCCGTTGATATAGGAATACGCAGAGATTAATAGGTTCTTATATGTCCATACAAGTTTGAAGTTTTGCATGATACAAAGTAAATCAAAAATGATTTCAAAATATTAGACAGGCAGGGTGGAACAATTTTAAAACTGTTCGAATGCGAATACGTTTTCACAACATCGCCCACGTGACGACTATGTGGTCATATTTTAAACGGAACGCTGATCTTAGATAAAATTTTCAGTTATCTGTTTGGATTAGTTGTGCTCTTATGTCCATCGTCTTTTCATGTTGAATTTTATATGTTCTAATGTTAATAATGTTTTATAAATAAGTCCTGATGATGGTCTAAAATAGACCGAAACGTCCGACGTTGACTTTATATTAACATTAATAGAGCATAATTATATATTAAGATTTTTGTTTGTTTTCTCTGTATATTTTTCTTCATACTGTCGGATCTATATCCATATATTTGCTTACATTATATATATATATATATATATATATATATATAGGTGTGTATACATATATATATATATATATATATATATATATATATATATAATATATTTTTTTTTCGTTTTCTCAGTCACCCATTACGTTTTAGTGGCTTTATTGCCTTGGTGCAAAATGATTTTTTTTAATGGTTAAATATTGGTCAGATTGCTTACTCGGAAATGTATTATTCAAATGAATTTTTCAAGTCAGTTAAATTTGTGAGTACAGCAAATAACACAAGCACATATCACTCACCTCAAAACACAATCATGCGCATATGCCTTACATTCTTTTTCTTCTCTTACCATGCGGACGAAGATTTATGAAGTGGGCTGTCCACGTCGACTTCAGCCACGCTGATGGCCGACTAGGTCGATGCGGGACATGCACGCCCGGCCGCGGCGACTGCAATTAAATGTCTGGTCTAGTCTGGTATAGCATCTCGGTCCTTCCTCCCGCGGCGTTTCTCCTTCAGTTTTGTTCTGCAAGAGTCCTCAAAGGTGCAGACGGCCTGGTGGACGGTACGGCGCCAGGCTTGATGGTCAGCAGCAAGTGTCGACCATTTATGTACGTTATATACGCACATGCAGTGTCAAAAGCAGAAAGCGTCTGACGGACAGAGAACCAGCTCCTTTTTTCTAATATAGATTCTCGTCTTTGTTAGATACAGTGATATAATGGATAGCGACTCGGATTTGATTTCGATTTCCAGTTGGGTTAGTTACATTTATTTACGAGCAAATATCCTTAGGAAAGGTCTTAATCTATCTTTCCCCCTATGGCGAAATAGCAGGACAGATTGGATCCTGTAGCCTTGGGTGGCAACCAGTCTAGGAGAAGGAAATACGGAATTCAAAACCTTCTAACTATGGGTAAATAATGGAGC